GACATGTCTGCTTGTATGTTTCCAGAGATATTGAACTGAGAAGATACTGAAGGTGGTAACATCCCATTATTAGCTGGATTCCTGAATTGAATTTTAAAAAATGAAAAGCAGAATGTGAGTTGAGCACCAACATTTATCTCTATTCATTTCCTGTGCATGCAATGTGGCAAGCCATCTCACACTCCTGCCATCATGATTACCCCATCAGAATGAACTGCCTCCTTTTACACATTGAACCAAAAAGAATCCCTACAAGAAAAGATCTACCTTGAATGTGACAGAAGCATTCCCATAGCCTAGAGTCCTGAACTGAGTCAAAGAGGACTAGGGAGAAGACAAGCTGAGTTCCTGCACTCACCTATTTCTGTGTCCTGATTGCAAAAGCAATGTAACCAGCTGTCTGAGACTCCGGTGGTCATGCCTTCCCCACCATGATGAACTGTACTCTTCAACTGTGATCTGAGATATAATCTTCCTTAACTTACATTTTTTAGCTATTTTCCACAGAAATGAGAAAAGAAGCTAATACAACTATGATTTGGATATTGATGAGTCAGAAAATGAGTAAAACAAACCTTTACATATCATTAGTATACAAAAAAATTAATATGTTACTTAGTAATAAAATATTTACGTGAGATGGTATGCATCCAAAACACTATTTTAGCTTTTGTAGTATTGCCTCTTTTAGCAACAGAAAGAGAAAGCTTGGTATGTCCCAGTAGAGTGGATGGAATTAATGAAGGACCACAGTGGACCTGGGGCTTCATTTTCTCTTGAGAAATATGTGCATGTAAGTAAATGGTTGCATTTGGATTATGAAGGCACCCAACAATTCATTTAAGATTTGGGGACACTTTCTTACGTTTTCTTGTTTATATGTGTAAGCTAAGAGGAAACTAATGACTTAGCTTGGATCCAAAATGTTTTTAATTTTTACCATCTCCTATAATATTCATTACTTCAGTTTTAACCTTGGAGAACCACAGCAGAGTGCCTTCTTCTAGGGTGGTTAGCTGAACTTATAAAAGCTGTTTATTGGGTGTTCTTTACAAAGTAACCACATTCTGTAATTGGACCATAGGTATTCATAGCTTTGTCTTGGAGAAGCTGAGCTTTTCACCATATTTTCCTTTTTCTCAGAAAGAAAAAAAAAAACAAAAACAAACAATAAAAAACAAACAAACAATAATAAAGAACCTCTGGGCACCTGGCAGAGAGGTAGCATTGCTCAGCAAGAGGTGATTCAAAGGACTCAAGAATGAGAGGGCAGCTTGTCAAACAAACAGGCTGAGGGAGAAGGTTGAGAGCAAGTGTGCATGAGCTGCAAAGGAAAAGGAACTGCATTTTCAAGGAAAGCAACTGCGGCCTGGGAAGCTCAAGGAGGCAAAATGATTGCCCTGTCCTCCGTCCAGATTCAGCCTCAGGGACCACCCTAGAATATGGCTCTGTCTTAGGTGGGGGAGCTAGCAGGAAGGGCATGATCACTCCTTCAGCACTAGGCTAGGCAGGTGTGGAGCTGTTCAGTCTTAGGCACTGCTCAGAAGTGCCCTGGGTATGGAAGAGCAGACAGACCACTATTTATGAGAATTTAACTTCCAACAAAGGCATGGACAAAAGTTCAGATTCTATTCTCTCTTCTCCTCTCCCCTCCCCTCCCCTCCCTTACTTTTTTCCCTCCCTCCCACCCTGGGATTTCTTTTTTGAATTTTCTGTATCCCTTTCCCCTTCCTATATATTTTATTTTATTTTATTTTATTTTATTTTATTTTATTTTACTCCTGTGAGTTTATTGCCTGCATGCATGTAGCTGCATCGCTGCCATGAACTGGGAGGTCAGAAGATGCCGCTGGATTCCCTGGAATTGGAGTTAGACAGATGTTAGCTGACATATGGTTATTGGGAATAGAACCCTGGTCCTCTGCAAGAGCAGTCAAAGCTCTTAACCAGTGAACCATTTCTCTACATCTCCCCCTTTCCCCTTTCCAATACAAGGACCACCCATCTAGGAAAACCTGCAGTGACCACTTCCCTGACCTGGGTACAAAATTTTTGAATTGGGCAAACAACCTGGGCAAACAGGAAATAAAGGGGTACCTGGATAGAGTTTAGTAATTAAAGAAAGTTCACATCCCTGGGCTCAACTTGTGATAAATTTCTCTAGTCAAAAACAATTTTAAATGTTGCCACCTTTTTTGGAATAATTTTATTTTTGATGCATATATTTGATACATTTATACATTTTATTTTGATACATTTTGGATCTGACAAATAATGGCCACTTCCTCTTAAGAAGGGTTCACATATTCAGTTATCATCTCAAGTCACTGGCCATTTGTCAAGTCCACCATTACCAAAAGAAGTGATCTGATTTCAGAAAAGCCTTTCACAGGCGTTCTTTGTCATGTGTCCATTACTCTGTTAACATAGCTTTTTCTTTTTCACAGTTGGGGGATTTCTTCCTTAGTAAAACTGCCTTGACTAGGTTACAGTCCCCCACCCCCACCCCTGGCTGGTACAAGAATTGCACATGGATTACAGGACTTCCTTGGGACCTGCTGCAGGTGTCCCCAGAGCATCTGCAAATAGGTTTGAGTGCAGAGCTTCATCAGCTCTGCACCCATGCGCACAGCTTTCCTTTTACCAGGCTTGTAGCTCCTCTCACTGGCCTGACTTCAGGAGGAATTGGTTCGCTGCAGGGCGTGCAGTTCCTTTTCTCTCCTGTTTTTTCTCTTTCTCTGTCTCCCTTCGTTCCTCCCTCCGTCCCTCGCTCCCTTCCTCTCTCCCTCTTTTCTCTTCTCTTTGTCCCTCTTTTTCTCTCTGTCTCTCCCCCTTTAGCTTGCTGGCTCTCAATTTCTCCAGCTCCTTCCCTCCCTCTAGGCCACAACTACCCATCTTGTGTAAATGCGCGCGCGCATGCACACACACACACACACACACACACACACACCTTTTCTTGGTCACTTTACCACAACATTAAGGACTTGTAGTTTCCTGAAGATCCAGGAACCAGAAGCCCTAGTCTTAGAGATTGCACTCCGGTGTTAGTCCCCGCCCCCAGGTTTGGGAGTCGCTATTTATTCCTCATCCCATCCCAGATCTCTTCATCCCACCCTTTCCAGCTCGGTGATGGAAACGTGTGGGAAGGATCGCTGCATGCAACCACACACGGTGCACACCCGCGCAATGTCTCAGGGCGTGGGAAGTCTCAGGGCCTTAGCAGCAGGTGCATGGCGGGAGCACCCATTCCCGGTCCTCCAGTGTCTCCTTTTATTGTCTTCTCCTTGGCCTTTTGAGGTGATTACGCTCTTGGCGGTGGGCATCACTTTGCTGTCTGCCTCACTGGTTCTTCCCACCCTTGGTTCTTCACCGCCACCATCCCCAGCTGGCGCCTGGTAGAAGTGGTGCTGCAGGCGCCCAAGTGTCACCAACCTCCTGAGGCCGCTCAGAACGGGGTCCTGCCGCGGCCCCGGTGGTCAACTCAGGGTGGGTCAGAGGGCAGGACGCGGATACCCGGGCCATGGGTAGGTAGGAGGTGCCGCAGCATTTGTGGAGGGACTCCAGAATCCCCCGTGCTCCAGCCCCGCAGGGGTACTGCCTCGTGTTTAGTTATTTCGTATTCCTTTATTGGTGTTTTTACAAACTGGGGCTCTTCCGGCTGTTTCTCTAGTAACTCATTTCTTCACGCGCAGCGTGCGTGCGTGCGTCCGTAGGTGTTGGGATGTGTGTTTGCTTTGGGATGGATTTGAGCATTTTGCGGAGAAAGGTAAATTTCACGAGGCTAAGTCTTTTCAGGAGCAATTTGGTGCGGTTGGCCTCGGTATCCTGCCCAGTAATTAATCTCGAAACTTTTACAACTCGCTTTTTTCTCCAGCGCCAGGGTTTCCTCTCTGAGGCTGAATAAAAGGCGAAGTCTTCGCCCTCTAGAAGAGAAGCGGCTAGAGAGCTCCAGTTTGAGGGATGGGAGACAGGCCCACCACAATTTCTAACCTTTAAAAACGAGGAACAAAACTCTAAAGGGCATTTTCTCAGGATGGCCTCTCCCCACCCACGCCTTTAATCCTCCACTGAGATGCTGGGGAGAATTTGCGAAGCTCTCTTCTTGCCCCTTCTCCAGGAGCTGGAGGAGTGAAGAATCCCAGCTTGGTTTTCACCCCCTCCCCCTCCCCCTCCCCCATGATCTTAGCCTCTGTAGTGTCCTTGCTTTCGCCGCCGCCCCATTCCGCCAAGCACCGGCCCTGGGGGCACGAGCTGCCCGCTGCTCCCCACTCTCACCCCAGTTTTGGGCTTCCTGGAGGGTCGTGCAATCCAGGGTTATGACTAAGGCGCTCACTTGGTAACTCTGCCATTTCCCTGCTCTTCCTCTCCCTCCCTTCCCCGCCCCCTTTAACCACCCCGGTGTTCCCGACCACCCCCCTCGAGCCTCCC